TCTTTCTTTCTTTCTTTCTTTCTTCTTCTTCCTTTCTCTTTCTTTCTTTCTTTCTTTCTTCTTCTTCCTTTTTCTTTCTTTCTTTCTTTCTTTCTTTCTTTCTTTCTTTCTTTCTTTCTTTCTTTCTTTCTTCTTTCCTTCTTCTTTCTCTTCTTTCGTTCTTCTTCTTCCTTTCTTTTTCTTCCTTCCTTCCTTCCTTCCTTCTTTCTTTCTTCTTTCTTTCTTTCTTTCTTTCTTTCTTTCTTTCTTTCTTTCTTTCTTTTTTCTCTCTCTCTTCTCTCTCTCTCTCTCTCTCTCTCTCTTTCTTTCCAAAGGGCCCTTGTGTTCTCTGGAAAGAGACAGAAAGAGAGAGGGAGAGTAAGTGAGAAAGTCCCTCCCACCCCCAATAGGGGATGATCATGACACAATCCCTTCTCTTCCATTTTCCCCTCCTTTGAGGATTTTGAGCATGCCCACACACATGCTCAGTGTGCTCAAGTCACTGAGTTCAAGACTCAAAGCTTACAGCCAGCCATGTGGGATTCAGTTCCCTTAACTACCATATGGTGGACTGGCTCATATGTTCAAGTCCATTTTCTATTTGTAATCATTCCATTGTATTCTTTATTTTGTTTTTTTTTATTGGCATTTAAATATTTCTCATATCCAAAACCTGTACTTTTTTTTTTTCAATTCTAGTTTCTTTTTTTCTTGTTTTATATTGTAGGTATCTTATTTCTCTAAAAAATAACTATACTTTTGATAAATTATTATAAGATTCTATAATGGCTTTAGTCATTTTCTCTGCTACACTGACTAATTACAAGATAATGTTCTTTCTTTTTTTTTTTTGGAAAGATTTTTGCTATAAGGCGCATGCACTCGCCAGACAGACAGAGAGACCGAAAGCGAGAAATCACCCCCCAGGGGGGATGGTCATGCCGCAATCCCTTCTCTTCCATTCTCCTCTCGGGATCTTGGGTACACACGCACACACACCCAGAGTGAGTTTAAGCCACCGGATCTGGGACTTGAACCGCGGTTGAATACGTGGGAGTCCAGCGACATAGCCATTACGCTAACTACTGGTCCCACGAAATAATGTTCAAGGGCAAACTTCAGTCTGCACCTCTCCTGGTGAGTGTAAGGACAGAAATATGGTATAACCCTAGTTTGCAGGTTTTGAAACTGCGGTTGCCATTCCAGTTTATTACCATGCCACCAGGTCAGGAACCCATCTGTAAGCTTAGAAACTGCCAACATCAGGAGGAGGTGCTTTCTGTATGCTGTGATTCATCACCCCTTGGAGTCTGAAGGGGAAGGTGGAGTAGTAAATATTTGCACCTGTTCTCACCACCTCCCAGCTGCCCTTTGATCTGCCTTGTCATTCTCCTGCCGACACCTGTGCCCTAGTATGTTGCTGTTGATTTTCTGATGATGGGAAGTAGCAGTGATTATTCCAAGTTAATGAATTTGATACATCACTTTCCCATGTTTCTGTAGTTTCTCCAGAAATGACTTTTGGAAAGAATCAACAGTTGTCTTGATTTTTCTTTATATCCAGTCACACTTCTGTTTCTTATTGCTACACAGAATAATCTAGTTTCCCAACGAATCCTTTGCAATTGTAGTTCTCTATACCTACATTTTTTTTTTCATTCATATCTTAAAAGTTGGCATTTTCTCATTAGTCTCGTCTTTCTTCAAATGTCACCTTTGCAAAAAGACCTTCCTTGGCACTATGTTTAAAGTAGCCACCACTGTAGGTACTAACATGTTGCTTTTTCATAGGCCTTTCTATAATAAAATTGCTGCATTTATTGTCCATCTCTTCCTATCAGAATGTAAGCTCCCTATGGGAGCCACATGGTAGTGCAGCAGAAAAACGTGCTCTGCACAGAGGACCCACATAGAAGGGTTCTGTACTTGCATCTGGAGACCTCCCTGAGTACAATGGACTGATTGTACGTCCATACATCTGGGACTGGCCAAAGCTCAGGGTCAATTGTAATCTCAGGACTCTGCCGGGTGACTGTCTTTCCCCTAGTGTGTTTGTAAGCTCCATATGCATGCATTCTGTTGCTCTCTCCCCACAAACCCTGCCCTACGGCAGTCTCACAGCCCAGTAGAATTCCAGAGCCCAGTAAATAGCTAATGGATTTTGTGGAATAAATGATCAAATTAATGAAAGAAATAGCATACATGTCCATTACCTACTTTACTCCATTTTTAACTTTTTCATAAATATATAACATGAATAGTGTAGTAGATCTTTACAGTTTTTTTTTCTATTTTATGTTCTTTTCCTTTTTTCAATACATTCTAGAAGAGTTCCTCAATCCAATCTTCTAGTTCACAAATACATTATGTATTTGTATCAATATTGCTTTTATTCTTTATATCATGTTACATACTAGGTCATCACAGGTCTAAGCCTTCGATGTCTATCATTTAAATATTTTTATTAGTACAATGGTGACATCAAAAAATTGTCACTGTAACATTTTAAAGAACAAAACTCCACTTTTTTTTTTTTGAGAGGTTTTTGCCATAGGGCACGTGTGCTCGCTAGACACAGAGAGACAGAAAGCAAGAAATCACCCCCCAGGGGGGTTGGCCACACTGCAATTCCTTCTCCTCCATTCTCCTCTCAGGATCTTGGGAATGCATGCACACGCGCCCGGCGTGAGTTTTAAGCCACCGGGTCCAGGACTCGAACCACAGTCAACTACGTGGGAGTCCAGCCACATAGCCATTACACTAACTGCTGGTCCCCCCAAAACTCCATTTTTATTCTCTGGTTTTAGATGGAAGTTAAATTCAAGTTAACTCTCTTCCTTCTTTAGGTAGCTTATGTTACAATAATGAATTGCCAAATAATGTTTTGTAATTATTCATCTGATCTTTACCATAAATCTGAAATATGGGAAGGGTGGGAATTCCCATTTTTCAGATGAGGAAAGTGAAGTTCAAAGAGGTGATGTGAGTGGGTGGCAGACCTGAGATTTGAACACTGGTTTTCAGCTATTACATGGTGCAGTTGTTTTTCTCACCATGCCAGTTTGTCCCTTGCATACATTAAAGTTAAGCTTTGGAGATTTCTCTTATCATTCCTAAATTATTTTTAGTTTTCTTTGCTTGATTCTTAATAGAGAAAATATTTTAAAAAACAATAAATTGTTATGATGTCCTTGGCATTGTTTCAAGTGCTATACATTTTTAAATCTCTGTAGAGTCCTGAGAGGTTGGTGAAATTATACCATTTTGCAAATGAGGACACTTAATACAGAGGGGTTAAGTAACTTCCCAAATCACACAGCTAGAATTACAAACTCTTCAATCTGGCTTTTAATTATCTGAATCTACAACAATGGAAATTTTATTGTAGTTTATAGCTTACAGAGAACTTTCATATTCATTACTCAATGGGTCTCATTACCAAGAAAGTAGGCAGGATTTGATAAACAGTATACTAAGTTTGAGACAGGTGACTTGTCCTACCTCATCCAGGCAACAAAAGGGGCTAAAATCCTATTGAAATCTGAATATATCTCTGGTTTGGGACCATGTTTTAATATGCATGCTTTTATGAGCCCACTGTGGTGTCCTTAATTATTTTTTTCTTGTTCCTTGAGATACATTATCGTGAGCTTGAAATGTTAATCTATTCATGTTTCCGAGGAAGATTTTATCTTATACTTTGACATTCCTCGATCATGTCTTTCTCAGCTTAATTGTGACGAATTCAGGAAAGGAGGAGATGGAGATTTTGTCTGTACCCCTGATAATGCAGCTGTCTGTGGCACAGATGGGAAAACATACACTAGCAGATGTGCGCTGTGTGCTGAGATCGCGTGAGTATGCGCTGAAGTGGCCTTTCTCCCTAAAGCTTGTTGTCTGTGTAATTCCACGGCACAGTTTTTTCTGCAGTCTTTAAGATAACACTCCATTTGGAGGAAGTTAGTCATCCACGCATTATGAGAATCACTTCTTTCACTACTCTTAAGACAAATCTTGTATCAGTATAACTTTATGTTCTACAAAACTATTTTGTGTGCAGTTTGTCATATGGTACTCACTGTCTGTATGAAAGAGACAGGATACATATACAGAGACACAGGTACATATGTAGACACACATACATATGTAAATCATACTCATACACACACACACATAGATACATACATCTACCTATTGTCAATCTATTTGCCCATCTAGCTATCGTTTATTTATCTATGAGTATATCTTTGTTCACAGAAAATCCTTTCATCATCAAATGATATTTTACTGCTCAATAATTTATTATGTTAGAGAAGGTAATTGGATCCTTAATATTGAGATTCTCCTCGTCTAGTCAACTTTTTGCCAAATGCTAAGACATTTATCTCATGGTTCTACATTTTGTCCTTATTTGTCCTTTCCCCACCCTCATTGTTAGATTTTATCGGTTGTCTTCAGCCAGCAATATGGCATACCTGCTTTGCAGGCCCTGGCTTGGGACTTCAATCTTGAATTGTCTGTTCTTCAGGTTTGGCAAAGACAACAACAAATGTTTGAAATGGCTAGTATTGAATTTATTAATGTTCCTTTTTTAAGACGCTTTATCCTACTTTCTAATAAGAAAAAACTTCACCAAAACAAAACCGTATTACATTACTCTGATCCTCATATAACTGCATTTTTGGAAGTACATTCTAAAATGATGCCCCCAACTTTCTACAAGGGTCAACATAAAGGAACAAAAAACAAAAATGAATCAATTTCTATGAAATATGTATTTTGTAACACAACTAGGAGTGTACTCTACATTTAATTCTTACTATGTATTATGTGGGGAATCCTTTTATAAATCTTTAAATCTTTGATCCAGCTGAACGTTCCTTTTTCCTAATTTTTTTTTTTTTAACAATATTGTTGACCCTTGAGCAACATGGATTTGTACTGCACGGGTCCACTTCAACATGGGTTTTTTTTTCAATAAATAATGTAAATATAGTTTCTCTTCTTTGTGACTTTCTTAAGACTTTCTTGTTTATCTTATTGGAAGACTACAGTGTATTATACATATAACTTACATAATGTATATTAATCATTTGTTTATATTATGTTTATCAGTAGCCAGTCAACATCAGGCTATAAGTAGTAGTTACATTTGTGAGATATCAAGAGTTTCTGCAGAGTTTTGACTATGTGGGGGCTTTGACACTGCTAACCCACATATTTTTCAAGGATCAAGAATACAACAAAAGTCTTACTACTCATTTTGTTTCTTAGCTCCTCTGACTGCTAATAGACTTTATAATAGCATTGGAATATAACTTTTATAGTTTCTTTCAGCTAACATCTTTTGACATAACTTTTTTTCTTATTACTTTTAAAAACTTGATTTTTTATGTTGTTTTCATTTTTATTTTTCATTGTCATTCAGAGGCTAACATTGTAAGCTGCCTTATGTTTTGGAAAGTAAAAAGTATCTCTTACAAGATGAAAGGTTTGAAGTTCTGTGGCATTAAACTGATGTGTCTACTAACTTTTGATTTTAGGAAAACCAGGTCCCAACTTGGCATAGAAAGTGAAGGAGAATGTAAAAGCAGCAAACCAGAGCAGGTGAGGATACATAAATGTCAGAGTGGTGGGAAATACAGGGGAAAGGGGGTTAACTTCAAAGGGAAAGCAAATGTTCTCTGCTTCCTTCTTGTGTGAGATGCTTGGAAGGAAGGAAATCTCGCGTTACTTAAAATGAAATACAAATAATGCCTGTTCACATGAAAAAGTAACTGATAGTTCCTGCAACTGGATCATATTACTTTAGCATTTAGCTCTTTCAGCTCTATTTCTGCTTTCGGTTAAAACAAACAGACCCAGCCTGGTGGCACAGTCAGTAGCAAACTGAACTGCAGTGCGGGAGCCATAGAGCCATCTGTGACTTGAAATCACAGTTCATGAAAAATGCTAGGTGTGTGCATACTCGAGATCTTGACAAGCTTGAGGATTGGGGAAAGGGGAGTATGGTACAATAAGACCCTGTCAAGGGTGCCTCTTTTTCTTTGTGTGTGTGTGTGTGTGTGTGTGTGTGTGTGTGTATGTGTATACATGGGTTATCATGAATAAAATAGGTAAAACTTTAAAACAAGCAAAAATTCAAAAAGACTGCATTTGCAGTAGAAAGGGCACTATACTTCAATTACTTAACCTGAATTAAGACCTCAGCATTAGGTCAGGAGGCCTTGGACAAATTAAGTAACTCAAGATGAGATTGGAAAAAGTAGCCTCTCTGAATGCTAAATTTCTGTGTGACTGTGAAGGCAGGGGAAGGAAGGAAGTGTCTCGTACATCTCACACTTGACTTTTTCTAGCTGAGTGATATTTCCAATATTTGAGATTTGGTGCCCTTTCTATGTGCTAAGATTACTTTCACTAAGCATTTAGCACACACTATTTTAAATATCTCTGTGTGTCACCTAGAATATTGTGAACACATTGAGAGCAAGAACTGTACTCTGTCTGACCTCAAGCACATAGTGGGTGGGTTATGAATGCTTACTGAATAAATGAATGAATAAGTAAATGAATTCTTATGTTCTCTGTTGAGCTACTTCTCTAAGACCAGCATTGCTTTAAGTGGCCAGTGCCTATCATGATGGCAGGGACACTGAGTTTTACAGAATTTCTGAACACAGTGTTGTAAGCATTGCAATCAGCATAGTGACAAGGTCCTTTCCTTTTCTTTAGGATGTATGCAGTGATTTTCGGCCCTACGTGAAGGATGGAAGGCTTGCATGTACACGGGAGAATGACCCCATCCTTGGTCCTGACGGGAAGACCCATGGCAATAAGTGTGCAATGTGTGCTGAGCTGTTGTAAGTGCCGTCATCCCCCAGGATGACCCAGATGAGGATGCACTTGGTTGCTGTCCTGAGAATCATTCCACAGAGAAAGTCCCTTCCATGAAATAGAATCGTTTGCCTTTGTAATGTGAAAATGACCTTGCTCTGGCACCAGCAACATGGTTACGTCTCTGGACTTCCACACAGTCAAGAGCAGTTTGAGTCCCGGACCCGGCAGCTTAAATTCATGCCGGGTGCAAGTGTGTGCATGCCCAAGATCCCAAGAAGAGAATGGAGGAGAAAGGATTGCAGCATGGCCATCCCCCACAAGGGGGTGATTTCTTGCTCTCTGGTTTCTCTGTCTCTTTCTGTCCTTCCGGTGAGCTCATAAACCCTACACCGAAAGAAATCTCTGTATTAAAAAAAAAAAAAAAAAAAAAAAAAAAAAAAGAAAAAAAGGAAATGAAAATGACCTTGTCCCTAGAATGGCTTATTTATTTCTTTAGTTTTCTTCATCACATCTATTGAAGTTTCTTAAAGGGATATGGTAAGGTGATTCTTTAGTTATTAAATACATTAAAAAAAATAACTTACAATATCTCACAACTGTATTGTTTTTGGAGCCAGCGAATGATGTGGTAGTTACAGTGTTGGATCCCAGATAGCCGATTCCATGGTTTGAGTCCTGGACCTGACAGCTTAAAAAACATGTCAGGCATGTGCGTGTGTGCATGCCCAAAATTCTGAGAAGAGAATAGAGGAGAAGGGGCTGTGACATAGGCATTTCCCCTTCAGGGAAATGTCTCACTTCTCCTCTCCTTCTGTTTCTCTCTGGTGAGCACGTGTGCCCTATGGCAAAAACCTTTTTTAAAAAAAGCTACTGTAGTTTATAAGGCATAATATTTTAAATTTCAAAAAATACTTTTATATAGAATGATCTACTTTAGTCATTTGACATTATGTAACTTTATTTGGGCATGTATAGAAGCCTTTACTGAATACTAATTATCTAATTCAAATACTAATAATGCTATGTGTCTGGATTCATTATTAGTGTAAAAGGTAGAACATTCTGAAGGGGAAGCACTATTGGGTTACTCTTTCTCTGAGTGCCTGGCACTGTTCTAGGCACTGAAGACCCAGCCATGAATGAGATCCAATTAGTCTTTACTATGCTGACTGTTAATCTGTGTGTTAGCAAGCTTTAAAGTGGTGTATTTACGTCATCAGGATAGGAAAAGATTTGCCAGACTGAAAAAATTTTACATATGTCTTTGAAAATTACAATGAGCTTTTGAATTCATGGGCATGTTCTATCGGGTCCACAAAAAGGTGATTATAACTGGCTTCCGGACTGGAAACCAGTCTGACTTCCACTTTCTTATCCAGGAGGTATGCCAGGAGTTATGTGCTTTCTGTGTTCAAGCCTGCCCTAATTCTGTGATTTTGTTTCTTCTCGTGCACTCATTGAAACAGAGATTTTGAACTCTAATTTCTGAATTTTTCTTCTTTAAACTGGCACAGCAATGCTCATCTCCAGGATGAGTCTGTAATTAGATACTAGATGTGAAAAGAACTTAGAAGCTCAGTTCAAATGCAACTTTTATGAACAAGCATACTTTAACATGAAGGTAAACAAATATTTCATAAGGCATAAAGATCTATACATAGGGTGTGGGCAGCAATACTTAAACGCTCAGTTTGGTTTCACCCTTGTCACAGCGTTGTTTTAAGGATCTTGATTCTGCCTGTTAAAGGGAATTTTCCTGACAATCTGTCAATCAAGCTGTCACACCCATCTAGTATGACAGAACAAAGCTTCTAATTGATGTCCAGTGAGTCAGTTTCACACCCTTCCTTATCTTTGGCAATTTCTTTCTGTCTCAGGAATTCATGACAGGGAAATGCTTGGGGGATGGGGAGAGAGCAAGAGAGAGGGAAAAAAGTGAGAAGTGGTCCCCCAGAGGAGATGGTCACTTGGTCACTCGCTCATCCCTTCCCCTCTATTCTCCTCTCAGGATATTGGGCACACACATATACGCCAGAGGTTATAAAAGTACTTAGCACAGGACTAGACACGCAGAATATGACCAAGTCAGAAACTGACCAAACGTTCACTTTTCTTAACAGTTTAAAAGAAGCTGAACAAAATGCCAAGCAAGAAGGTGAAACCAGAATTAGACGAAACGCAGAAAAGGTATATATTTCACCAACACAATCTGGCCATCAACATTAACAAACTCATGACTGAACCTAGGAAGTCAACGACAGTGCATTTGTACTTTATTATTACAGATATCTTCTTCTTCATCTCAAATTCCTCAAATACTGCACTTAGTATATGAATTATTCAATTCAGATTTAAAAAACTGTTTCCTATTTAAGACTCAAAATGTGCAATTTCCGACACAGCTTCTCTATCTGTACTCCTTAAAAAGAGAATGTAAGAAAAAAATGTATACAAACTAAACTATTTAATTTTTGTCAGCCTTCTCTTCAAGTTTAAATCCATTGTGCGTAGAATGAAAAAATTAAATATTGCAACATAATGTAAATTACACAGGAAAAATTTTAAAATAATTTTGGAGTCTTTTAAACAGTTTAGCCACTGGCCTATTTTATGTATATTTCTGTAGACACAAGTTGAAGTTATTCTGTTTTCCATTGTGGTTATTATATTCTGTGAGACCTGCATTTATAAAGGCCTTGCTTCTGTTAAAATAATGATCTCAGAAATACATTGCGATTATGGTTTTAAAAATAACCTTAAGACTGTTTTTTCAAATTATTTGATAATTATTGTATTTCTATTATTCAATCTAGCATAGAAGGTTATTCCTTTTGTTAAAAGAATAAGCATGATTGATAATACAGCTTCAATTTCTTGAATCACAAGATCATGAAACTATATTTTAAATAACATAGTAGTTACTTTGCTAAAGGACTAACCTTTTAGTGTGAAGTTAGGACACCTGTTTCAACTATTTTTGTTGCATACTCTGGGTGTGTGATACTAAGCACATCATCTTCTCTCTAGGCCTCAATTTTCTTGTCAGCAAAAGAAGGTTGGATACATGACCTCAATTTTACCTTCCTGTTAGATTGTGACTCTATGCCTGTACTCTTCACTAACACAAGTAGGCTATTTTTGTGGATTATAGGGCTTGGTATTAATTATGGAGGGAAACAGGCCCAGTGTTTGGTAATCAAGAGCTGACTTCATAATTTTATTTAGTAAAACAAAGTCCTTGCCCTAAATAAGGTATTCAGAATTTAAATACACACACACACACACACACACTCACACACTGAGAACTGACTGTAGCTCAACACTCACTAAGGATTAAAGAGCAACTCCATGATGGTTGGTAAATTTCAGTCTAAAAATTTAGATAATCTTGTGATATTTAGCATTTGATTTCTCCAGAAATGCAGAGAGTTCTTTTCCCTTGTTTCACATCAGATGCTGGCTATATTTCTTTCTTCTTCTCTGTGGCTGGGGTCATTGTTTTGGTGGGGTCATTGGGCATGATTGCATCAAAAGGACTGGCTTTATGGTGATGGCTCAATATGTGCCCCATAATTAACCTGTCAGTGGGTTGCTCACTAAAGTGTTTCTTCAGGATCTCCTTGGATGAATCATAACTTATAAACTGAAATTATCCTTGTTTCTTTTATGGGAATCATTGAGTATTAATTTTATTCCCATACTGTGACTATCAGGTGAGTGTCTTCCGTGTCTGTATTCCTAGGAAACTTGGAGCACACCCATTGTGCCTCCTAAAACAAATATTTCATATAGGGAAACAATTAAGATTCTCTTTTAATGTGTCCTCATGAAATCTGAATTACTAAAAAAAAAGTAGAGTATCCTAGATCTAGAAACGGACCTACAGAGCATCTCTTCCAAAAACCTGACCGTGTAAGTGGCAAGACTGAGGCCCCAAAGGTGATGGGACTTTGGTGTGGTCTCCTGGTGAGTTAGAGTCACAGCTAGAGGCCTAGGTCTCCTGACGACAGCCTTACTCTTCATGCTCTTGTGTTGTAGAATGAGATGGGAAGAGGAGGGTCACACAGTTGAAAATAAGATTTTAGAGCAGGATTTTTCTAGGTTATGTTATGGTAATCATCACAAGTTATGTTTGTGGACATCGAGATCCCCAAGCTTGCAGTAGTTTGGGACACACACACACACACACACACACACACACACACGCTTGTTTTGCATGTTAAGAGTGGTCCTTACCAAATAGTAGAGTTTTCAAAATAAAAATACCTGAAAATACTAAACCAAAGGATCGAAAAATATGAGAACAAACCTCTGTTGGATTTTTGAGGAAGTCACAATCGTTTTAAGATTTTTAAATGAATATTAGTCTTAATGCTCTGCTTCCCTAAGGTGGAAGCAGAGGAAAATTAGATTCGCACTCTCTGAGGTTTCCAACTACAATGCCAGGAATAAATCTTGATAAAGGAAGCAGAGTACACAAAAGTCATTGAGAAATCCACAGAGAAAACAAAGTAAAGTAAGGACAACAGTATTGGACACCATCTTATTTCTTTTTTCTGGATTGTTGGATTGTTGTTGGCTTGATTGATTTCAGGTAACTTTTTAACATCTCATCTTACAAATTGTATTTTCTGTTTGTTTTGCTATAGGGTACATGTGTTAGGGAGAAGGGAGGGGCGAGAAAGCACTGGGTGGGGGGGGATGGCCACGTCTCAATTCCTTCTCCTCCATTCTCATCTCAGGACTCTGGGCTCACGTGAACATGCTCCAAGCATGATTTTCAAGCTGCTCAGTCAGGGACTTGAATTGTGCAGCTGGTCATGTGAGATTAAGAACCTTAACCTCCATGCTCCCTACTGTCTCAATCTTCTATTAATTTTATTGGCAACTTTTGTTTGTTTGTTTGAGCTACTACACTTTGTTCTGTGTTTTTTTTTAATTCTTTTTAAAAAAATTTATTTATTTAAATTTACATTATATCACATCTTTGCAGTATACATTTTTTCTAACACAAATAGCATGCATGTCTTTCATTACAAGGATATTACTATATATATTATCATCAGCAAATAGCTTCTCGTTTTTTGTCAACTAAGAATATGTTACCTGTTTTTCCCTTCCCTGTTCCCCTCCCTTACTTCCATATTACACTTTTTTTTTTCATTTTATTGATTCACCAAAAAAAACCTTTAAGTATGGGCAAAACTAGAATCTAGTGACAAGTACACTGTAATTTTCTTCCGAAACATTTTTTTTCTCTCTCTGTTCCCCTTTTTACTATAGCAAGGTCTAAACTAACTTATTTGTAATTAAAAATTAGGTTAATCTCAATTTGATCTGTTATTTTACACAAAGTCCCATAAAAAATGCAAGTTCCTATGCAAGGCAACAGATAATATTGTATTATTGAACTTATGCAAATAACCATTCTACCACAAAATGCAAATGCTCACAAATATTTTCCAATTACAAAGGAGTCAGGAAGGGAGAAAAGTTTACATTTCAATTAAAAAATTCTTTTTTTTTTTTTAACAAATTGTTGAACCCAATAACTCAAAAGAAAACAAAATTCTTAAATCAAGAAGACAAAGCATGGAAGAAAATCAGTAATGTTTTAGAAATAAAGTCATAGAATTCTATTTCACCAATTCGGTCTCGTGTAATCTCTCTTTGTTGAATTTGCAGTGTTACTGTGGTCTGACCTTTCCGTTAACATTCAACATTACTAGTGATATTTCAGACCTTGTCCCTACCATTAAGTTGGCCTTGTACTTGGTCATTTTTTGTTCTCTTATTTGTCCGTCTGTCTTTAGTTTTCCTGGTATAGTACTCTTTTCAGAACTTCTTGAAGAGCTGGTCTGGTGTTGGTAAATTCTTTCAGCTTCTGTTTATGTGAGAATGTTTTTTATCTTTTCTACCGACATGAAGGATAATCTTGCCGGAGACAGTATTTTTGGTTGAAATTGTTTTTCATTTAACATTTTGAATATGTTTTCCCATTCCTTCCTTGCTTGCATTGTTTCCAATAAGAGGTCTGACGTTAGCCAGATGGGATATCCTTTGAAAGTAACTTGATGTTTTTCTCTTGCCAATTTTAGTATCTTGTCTCTGTCTGTGGTTTTGGTCAACCTGGCTATGATGTGCCTTGGAGAAGATCTCTTGGATTGATTCTATGTGGAGTCCTTTGTATTTCTTGGGTTTGGATATTTAAATGCCTCCCGAGGTTTGGAAAGGTTTCTTCTAGGATTTCATGAAATAGATTATCAATACCCTGATTAGTTTCCTCACCTTCTAGAATGCCCACTATCCAGATGTTTGGACACTTAATCATATCTAGTATTACTCGTATATTGTTCTCATTTTGAGGGGTTATTTTCTCAGTCTTTTTGGTGAATTTTTCTAGGTCAGAAGCTCTATCTTCTACATCTGAGATTTGATTTTCTGCATGATCTAATCTGCTTTTAATACTCTCAAGGGAGGTTTTGATTTGCTGTATTACAGCCTTCATTTCTAACAGTTCCATTTGATTCTTTTTTATGGTGTTTATTTTATCTTTCAGATTGTGGAAGAACTTCCTCACCTTCTGGAACTCATTGTCTCTTTTCTCCTATATTTCTGGCATTCACTGTCTCTCTTTTCTTGTCTCTCTGTTAGCTTTGTCACCATGAATATCCTAAATTCTTTATCTGACATTTCCAAGAGTTCCATTGTACTGTCTGTGGATGATGAAGGGCTGTTCTTTCCCCTTGTGAGAGAGGTATTTTTTGATTTTCCATGTTTCTTGTGCTTCTACAGTGGTGGTTTCTAGTCATCTGATGGATTATACATTACTTCCTACCTTCTTGGAATTAGTTCTGAGTGTTAGAGGCATGTGGAAGTAGATGACTTGCAATTTTTCTGCAGTTCTGTTCCCCTGATCTTCACCAAGCAACCTGCACTTTTGTCAGTGGAACTGGATATTACAAAGGCCTTACATTTTCGAGGGAAAGGGGGCACCTGAGTTGAGCTTCAGGGTTTAAAGTATTCAGATGTTTTGCTACTATGTACCTAGACCTGCCTAGACACTCAATGTGTGGAAAGTGAGAAGCAAGATGAGAAAGTCAGATAAAATAAAGGAAACAAAGGGAAAAAGATCCCCCCCCCCCTAAAAAAAGGAAAAGAATAAACAAAAGAATGAAGGGGATAAAACTTTACTTGAAAAAAGACAATGGACCAGCAGTTAGTGTAATGGCTATGTCGTTGGACTCCCATGTAGTTGACTGTGGTTCGAGTCCCAGACTCAGTGGCTTTTACGCCCACTGAGTTTGTGTGTGTGCGTGCCCAAGATCCTGAGAGGAGAATGGAGGAGAAGGGATTGTGGCATGGCCATTCCCCCTGGGGGTGATGATTTCTTGCTTTCTGTTTCTCTGTCTCTCTTTGTTTTTCTGGTGAGCACACATGCCCTATGGCAAAAATCTCCCCTCCCCCCCAAGAAAAAGACAAGAAAAAGAGAACCGCGAACCACCCTAGCAGGGCTAGGCTCACCTCAGCTGCACATGGATTCTGAAATTAGCAAGTAAAGGGAGAGATCAGAGAGAAGAGAAAGTACCTACAGGGTTTTTTTTGTTTGTTTGTTTGTTTGTTTTTAAACATGTATATATGAGAGAGAAAATTTCAAGAGAAAGGGAGAGGGAGAATTAAAGACAGAGACAGAAAGAAGACAAAGACCCCCCCCTACCTGGCTTTTTGCTGGGTGTTGGGCCAGAAGGAGGGATTCTGGGCAGAGACTTTTTCTGGTTAAAGAGGCAGGGCTAGGCCCACTGTGGCTGCATATGGATTCTGGCTTTTCACTGGACATTGGGCCCAACAACTGCTTTTGTTTGTGTTCTAACCTCCTGAATTTACAAGTTAAGAAGTGTTATCTAGTTTTAGTTTGAGGAAGTATTTGCTCGGCCTTTACCTTTCTTAGGATTTTTAACCTCTTAATAGATACACCACACTGCAGATACAAGTGCCAAGTATTTGAGAAGATCATTATTATTTCTTATTAATTTTCATTAATACATTGTATGTGTTTACTATCACTTTCTAGATCTGATATTATATGGTAATAAATATATCATACAAAGCTTCTAGGTTAAAGAGTAAAAAATGGTAAATGTAATTACTTACTTTTTTAAAGGATTTTTGCAAGGAATATGAAAGTCAAGTGAGAGATGGAAGACTTTATTGTACCCGGGAGAGTGACCCAGTCCGTGGCCCTGATGGCAGAATGCACGGCAACAAATGTGCTCTGTGTGCTGCAATTTTGTGAGTATAGATGCGGCTTCCTCAGAGTGACTCAAAAGGTGAAAATGGAGGCTTGTAAGAATGACGAGTAAGAATAATGTTGAGGTGGGGAGTTTTGTTGTCAAGAACTATTTAAGGAGGTTTATGTCCTCTAAAAATCATAATGTAACCTAGTAAGCAGGCACTACTGATGTTTATCTGTGTCTGAATATAAATGGGTTCCATTTTCTACCCTAAGGATTAGCTTACAAAATACTTTCTAACATTTCTCCCATGACCTCTGTGAGCCTCTGTATATACTACTCATAGTAAATAATGGGGGTAAAAACGGGTAAAATCAAGTCTTCGATTGTTTTTCTTCAATAATTATCTCTTAGTGACACAGCTATAAGATGCCCTCAAAAAATGCATGCTCATATATTAATCAAATTAATCTTTTTGTCTGGGATATACTACCTTGTAAGAAGGACAAATCCCACAATTTACAAATTATAAAGATCTTTCAGACAAGGTCTCATTACTTTATTTCAGATTCTTGAACTCTGTAAGCTCTTTCTTGTATGCTGTTCAACTGCCAGTTCTGTCTCAGGGTTAATGACCCCTCCTCTGGTAGATTCCTTTTTAAAATTATCCTTCCTTGGATATAACCTCCGAAAGTCTTTATTTGACATTAAATCTTCTTAATTCTTAGTAATCGTCTTTCACAACAATCATCACAGCTGATAATTATACAATGATTTCTGTTACTATCTGTTGACTATCAGTCTACTCTACTAGGCTATAAGTTCTACAATAACAGGATATGTGCTTGTATTTATATTCTGTATACAGGGCTTAAGCCAGTGTGTGACAAAAAATAGTTACTAGCTAAATAAGTGAATGAATGGATGTATGAATAAACCACCCTGAGTCAATAGCAAAAATAACCTTAAGCAAGCACACACAACACACATACACACTTGTATATTGCAAAACAGAATGAAAACTGTCCCATAAGAGAAGGATTTTCAGATAGAAAAGCACAATTGTTGTAGCACTTATTTCTATTTGGGCCCTGGGATGTTTTCTTTATAAAGGTGAAATTTAAACTGGGGAGATTTAAAAGGAGTGATGAGAAGAAAGATGATGCATCCATCACCCAATGGCAGTACAGTAGAACTCATGGAAATATCTGATAGAGAATTCAGAATATTCACAGTGACAAAACTAAATGAGATGCAAGAGTTGAGAGATAATGAACCCCAGAAGATGTAGAAGAAAAGAGATGACGAGTTCCAGGAGATGTTGAAGTTCTTCCAATGATGTGAAAGAGGAAATGCACACCATGAAAAAGAATCAAATGGAGTTATTGGAGATGAAGGCTGCCATTCAGGAAATCAAAACTTCCCTTGAAACTGTTAAAAGCAGATTAGTCCATGCAGGAAAACGAATCTCGGATGTGGAAGGCAAAACTTCGGATCTAGGAAAAACAACCAAAAAAAATTGTGAAAATAACCCCTTAAAATGAGAATACTATACGAGAAATACTGGACAGCATTAAGCACCCAAACATCCGAATAATCAGAATCCCAGATGGTAAGGAAACTAATAAGGACTCTGCTAATCTATTCCATGAAATCTTGGAAGAAAACTGTCCAAATCTAGAGAGGCATTCTAATAACCAGACCCAAGAAATACAAAAGACCACTAATAGAATCAACCCAAGAAGATCTTCTCCAAGGCACATCATAGCAAGACTAGCCAAATCTACAAAGACAAGACAAAACACTAAAATTGGCAAGAGAGAAATGTCAGGTTACTTATAAAGGTTATCCAATCAGGCTAACCTCTAACCTCTCATCAAAAAAAAAACAAGCAAGGAAAGAATGGGAAAATATATTCGAAATGTTGAGTGAAAAACAGTTTCAACTAAGAATACAAGATTGGTTGTATTATCTTTCATATTAGAAAGGATAAAAACATTCTCAGATAAATAAGACCTGAAAGAATTTGCCAATAACAGACCCGTTGTTCAAGAAGTTCTGAAGGAGTGCTCTACTAGGAAAACTAAAGATACGTAAAGAAATAAGAGAATAAAAGGTAACCAAGAAAATGACCAATTTAATTCTAGGGTCAAGAAATATCAATAATAACATTGAATGTTACCTTCCAGGATTTAAACAGAAAGATTGGACCACAGTAATAGTACATATTCAACAGAAGAGAGTTTGAATATAAGACTAAACTGGCAAAATAGAATTTTATGACTTTTGAGTAAAACATTACTGATTTTTTTTACTATGCCTTGTTTTTCCAATTTAAGCATTTTACTTTCTTCTCAGTAGTTGATAGGTTCAGCAATTTGTTAAAATATTTTTCTTGTTTGTTTCTTTAAATGGAAGCATTAACTTTTCTTCCTGCTTGACTCCTCTGGAATTGGAAATTATTTAGGAGTATTCTTATTTTGTCATAGAAGCATTATTTGTATAAGTTCAATAATGCTTGTTGCATAGAATCAGAAATTAGAAACACTCGTTATTGGACAGGGCTTTAACTGGAATGTCATATCTGAAGATTAATCAGGAAACTATGGAACTAAGGTGGATCTCAGGTAAGCCAACAGAAGTCTTAGAAAGATGTCCTGGCCCCATAAATAGTTCTGCCTGGCCGAGAGGATTAGAGAAGCTATATGAAAGAATTTGTAACATAAAATAACCTGGACTTTTCCAGCCCAGCATTGTATTCAGAAGAGATTGCAAAAGAGCAACCACACCAGAGGATTATCCTGAGAAAGACATTAAAGAAAGAAAAAGAGACTGATCTTTGCTAGCAGATAGTATATCACAAAAAATTTGGTAGGCAGGGCTGAATTGAGAAGGTTTATGTATGACTTATGTGCTTAGCATTTGCTTTTCAACAATTTAAGTAGTTAACACAAATATTTTCTCAAAAATATTTTAAAAATATATTTAAAACCACACTGTCTCAGGACCAGCAGTTGGCGTAATGGCTATGTTACTGGACTCCCATGTAGTCAACCACAGTTCGAGTCCTAGACCTGGTGGCCTAAACACCCTGGGTGCGTGTGTGTGTATGTGCAAGATCCCGAGAGGAGAATGGAGGAGAAGGGATTGTGGTGTGGCCATCTTTAAAATTCAGTGTTTTGAAATTTTGAAAGTTGCTTATTAACTGTCAAGAACTATGGAGCATGAGCAAAAATTTTTTGATATGTAAAGTAAATGTTGTGGAAAAATGTACAAATAAATTAAATAAATAAAAGGAAAACAAACAAAAAAATTGGAATCCAGTTGCACCTCTCACATAAAAGATTTTCAATGGATATTTGTTAACTGAATGAATGTTTTGTATGTTTTTTTTAGATGATCATTTGTCTTTTTGTTTTATTTATGCTTATATTTTTTGCTATGAAAAAATGTTAGATTGTATGTTGTCAGATATGTACACTTTTCCATTTATTGTGTCTAAATGTTCCATCCTACTTATAAATACCTCTCTAATCCCAAGGTTGATTATTCTCCTAAATTTTCTAGGAGTTTAATTTTTTTGTTATGTTTAAATCTAAAATCCATCTTGAATTTATTTTTTGTGTATGACATGTGTTTCTTCCAGATGGTTAGCTTATTGTGTCACTTTAGCAAATAAATTATTTTTCTCCGCTAATCTAAAAAAAAAATATTGCAGTGGAAGGGAAAAATATATATCTCCCTTCAAAACAAGATGGACTTCCTGGATATTGAGGCTAACTTAAGAGTGTTTGTACTAGAACTCAGAAAAATTTAACTACTTTTCCATCTGTACCTAATGACAATTTTGGAATATGAAGATTTGAAGCATCTCTACCCATTTACTATTTTTTTTTCCAGCAAGAAGCGTTTTACAGAAGAAAAAAGCAAAGCAGGTCAAAATCTGAGACGGGCTGAGGAGAAAGTTAAAGTTAAAAGAGAAATTGAGGTGAGGATTAGCTTAATAAATCATGTCAAGATTTTTGTGTGTTTGTATTTATGTGTGTATTTTGCTTCAGTACATATTTTCAATATTGGTTAATATCAACCCAACTCCTCATGGATTTTCTAGAAACTAATATACAGTTACTGTTTTATGGAACTTCGAAAAATAATTATGGCATTACCATTTCTAGCTCTAACTGGAGAAATTTACTCAAGTCACATAAGTACAATAGTTCCACACTCCTAAATAGAGGTGACATATCAAAACATTATTTGAATTCAAAGTTGTTATTTAAACGTGTAGTAGCTGTTGTGGCGGAATTCATTGCAAAAGTTATATTTATGTGGAATTTGAATATACTTCCTTTAAAACCATATTGCATTCTACTTTCTAAACATTTCTTAGTTATTTGCCTATTGTTCTATTACTATCATGTTAGTTCAGATATTTAATAGATCTCCTGTCAATTGATCAATTAATATCGTGCCTAATCGATTGAATATACTATTAGTTTCCATCTTCCTCAATCCTCAAAATTCAATTAATTTTCCATGTTGTTTTCATAAAAAGGGAAAGTTTCCATGATTCCATGGCATTATACAATTCCAACATTTGAATTTATCCTAGAGTGTATTTGGACCATTTTACTCTGTGTGGAAACCATATCTGACTTGTGTCTTGCAGACAGCTATACAGTTTTCTATGATGTGTAGTTTACAATTTTATAAAGTAGCCCACTCAATTAGGCTATCTTCTGCTTTCTAGAATGATCTGATTGCCTACATCTCATTTTCATCTTTCTTCCTCCCCTCAATCCTAGATTGCCAAGTCTTGTTAATTTTTGTACTCAAATGTCCATCATCTAATTTTTTACCTTACATTTCCTCCTTTCCCTCTTTCCTCTTTTCTTCTTTTCCTTTAAAAAACTCCCTTTTCTCTGTATAATTTCTTTAGTTTCCAGAGTACTAGTCTCTGTTCACTCAAACCTTCCACACATTTGGCTGGCAGTTTTTCTAAAACAGAGATTTGGTTCTATAACTCTGTCTTTAAACATCTATTATTTTCCATCACCTAAGCATGCAATCTAAATTTTCTCCCAATTTTAATGATCAGGTTTTGATCAATTTTCAAGATCTCCTTTTTGACCATATACTAAACTTTTTCTATTTTCCTAACTAGTTCTTAAACCACTACACTCACAGATAAGTTAGATTATCTGAAATGATGTATTCTTTAATGCCTCTGTCTTTGCATACCATAATTACTGTCAGAAGATCTTTTTGCCACAACATATTCCTGGATACATTCTCAAGATAAAACTCAAACTTAGTTCTTCTGTGAAATTCCATAAACCATTCTTTTCATTGTACCTGTCTACTTAATCTGTAGACTTGTGTTCATCCCTTAAACTGATTTTATAATGCAATTACTTATCCTTTCCACTTGACTGATAAAGAAACCCCTAAGTCATATTGATAATTATATTTAAAAATTTATTTCTTGAACACTTAAACAAATGACTATTGCAAGGATAGAAATACCACATATTTTTGAATGATCATAAATCTTAAAAGTTTTATTTTTTCTTCCTTAATTCTTTTTCAATTTCTTTGAGGAAAGACATTTAAAACGTATAAATGGAAAACAGAGAACTATATCTAAACTGCCCTGTTTTTATTATTCAGAAACTCTGCAGTGAATATCAAGATTATGCGAAGAATGGGGTACTTTTCTGTACCAGGGAAAATGACCCTATTCAAGGTCCAGATGGGAAAATGCATGGCAACTTGTGTTCTATGTGTCAAGTCTTCTTGTGAGTATAGAATTTTAGAAAAACAGAAGGGATCTTGCAGCTGATCTAATTTAGTCAGCTTGTTTCACAGATGGGGAAAATGTGCCTCAAAATAGGGAAAGGAGCTGAGTAAATTTTACACAGAATGTTGAGCAAAGAGCAGAAAGTAAGTTCCTAGAGTGTCTCATTTCAGGATGCTTTGCTTTCTCTGACACTCCCTCTCAACCCTGGAACATCTTGACAAGCATGAATTAGAACAAACGTTATTTGCCTCCTTATTGTGGAAGCTTCATATGTGAACCTATTTTAATAGTTTACAGGCCTCTCATCTCCCATTGAGGGTAGGGTCCAAAGTTAGCACTTAACGCAGAAACTGAATGGAGTCAAATTGCCCATGAAACAGTCATAAACTTCTATAAAATTTTAATGTTGCTTTATCTAATGTGGCATTTCTCAGTAAGTAAGATTGACAGTTTTATTTAAAAACTTAGACTAGCATTCACTTTCTCTGGTTGAATTAAGATTAAGTATTGGACATATTTAGATTCTATGGCTTTTTGTTTCCATTGAGAATCATGTATGCTTTAAATTTCAGTTAGCTATTCCTAACTAGGCAATTACATTGTACTACAAAACAAATTTATAAATTCAGCAAATTTATAAGATCAGTATATGTTTATAGCCTCGTGTTTTGTATTTCAGAGAAAACAGTCATGAGTAAGCAATACATTCCATTATAAACGAAAGCTATGAACTTGAGGGAGGAGCCTTTGGTTGCAGTAATCTCCTGAGAGGATAGCCCTAGCCCTGTTTTCCCTCTCATCGTCCCTGAGAAACAGGAGGACCAGTCCACATGCTTTGTTCATGCCACTTTTAGCCTGCAGGTGTTATGTCACCATGATTCTAGTTTTGATACTTTCTTGGTGGACATTGATGATCCTTTCCTCACTGCATGCAAGAAAGATAATATATAGAAAGCAAGTTTTCCAGATCTGCTGTTGTCATCTTTTATCAATTGTTATGTATGTTTGATTCTAATGGATCTAATGGAGCAATTGTGATGTATGTTTGATTCTAATGGATCCCTTTCATTTTCTCT